CTTACTACTCCACTAATTTATTTATTTTTAACCTTATATCACTTGAATTGTTAATAGTACAATTGAAAAAAAAAAAAATATGTTTTTGTTATGAGAAAAATGAAGATATTAAGGGGAGAAGAAGATAAAAAAAAAAAAGAAAAAAGAAAAAAAAGGATGTGTTCAATTCATTAGTTTTACACTTATTAGATCTTATTTAATTTTTTTTTTTCTTAACTTATCTTATCTCTACTTACTTGTAAATTGTAATTAGTGAAACTAAGGTAAAGCCAAAGTTAGAAATGGAATTATATAATTTAAAATTTTAAAGAGATCGAAAAAATAAGGAATGATTAAAGGAGAAAAATTATTACATACACTCGGGTATATCGTACACCCAATTAAATCAAGGTTAGTTTTTTGCTCTTCATGTGATGATTAAATGAAAAATAATCATCAAAATGAGTACAACTTGGGTATAACAATCTCTCGAAAAATCGTACATTACATGACGTTTATGGGTTGTGTTTTCAAAAACTATATACTCTTGTATAAATTTTTTTGGCGAATTGATAATTTGATATGTTATGATTTTATTATCCAAAAACACTTATCTTTAAGAAAAAGAAATAATCCGTGTGTTGATATGTTTCTTGATTCATACTCCGTATTCCGTATTAATAACGTGTACTTTGAAATTTGATCCCACAAATCGAAATGGAAGCTCTAACCACTTGAGCTACCCCTCACTCTCTGTGCTTCTTAAATATTAATAAACTTTTTGTAATTGTTATGGATAATGAGTTAATGACCCTAATTTAATAATGACCATAATGTCGATAGAAAAATGGTTTATTCTAATTTCTATCACTAGTAAAGTAATTAAACTTAAATACTTTAAATACGACATACAAATAAAACGATCGAAGAGAATAAAGAGGATAGTGGAACGAATGATCTATCGAGTACACTTGTATAGCTTAAGAGGAAATTAAAAAGAGAATAATAGTTGCATACCTTAACGTTCCTTCAAAGCTAATGTACTATTAGCATTGATTAACAAAAAGTGTAATACTAATTGATAACTTAATGTAAGATATGATTGAGTTTAAAAAGTTATTAGTAGTGTTATTGGTCATGTACTCTACCGATTATCATATTCATCGTCTCTAATCTCTATTTCTCTTTTGAGAATTTGAGTGTTTGAATTGAAGTATTTTCAGTTGACTACCGAGTATCTTATAATTTTCTTCAACAACTAGGATTTAATATTATTTTTTGTTAATTAATACTTAAATTTTACATCAACACGGTTATGAAATCATTTGATTAATTAAGGAAATATGTAAATTTGATTATGTGGCATGCACGTAAAAATATTACGTCTTTTTTTTTTTTTTTTTTTTTGGGGAGGTTCTTCCATAATTGAGTATTTTAATTATGTTGACCAAATAGTCAATATTAGTCATACGTCTGCATGTCCCATTCTAAACTTGTAGGTATTTTTTGATCCTACAAAACAATTGTAAGGAAAAAAACCCGTTAAGAAACCCTCATAAAGGGAATTCCTAATACGTCTTAAGTAAGGATGAGGATAAAGAAGAATTAGATATCATTGCTAACTAAATGACCAACATTAGCAATTCAAGGCTTATTCAGATTTACTGAATTGAATTGAATTGAACTAAACTAAATAGAGCTGAAATGAATTGTTTATAAGAGAAGGAACTGAACAGATTGGAGATGAACTGAACTAAACTAAACTGAAAATAAGCTGAAGAGAACAGGTCCTCAATCCACTGATTGATTTGACTCCAGAAAGATATGACGAAGCATTAAATTACTAAGAGATTATCACCTTAAATTAGAATATTTTATCCCATGCTCAAGAGCTAAAAGAATGTCTTTATGAAGAGCCACCCGTGGATATACTAGGAGTAAGTATTACCCACTACCATAGTATGGGTAATACTATGGTAGTGGGTAATACTACCCAATACCACAATTTTTTTTTTCTTCTCCCCTTTTTTTTCCCTTTCCTCTTCATCTTCTTTCTTTCTTAAACCTTTTCCCCACCTCCATGGATAGTTTCCATTGTTGGTCAAACCTCCGCCCACCACACCTTCACCTCTGACGGCAAGAAGCCCACCCCACCAGCTACTACCTTGGTCGAAATCCAAAAACACGCAACTACCTCCATTAAAAATCACCGAAAATCACCCTAAAAAAACATAACCCAAAAACGAGAGACACAAATTTATGGCTCTAGCCATTAAAAACGGTGAGTTCTATGCTGGAAATCGCTGAGTTCGGTCGAAATTGACGCCGGTAATTTTTTGTCGGTGCTCAGTTATTATTAATTTATGTAATGTTATTATTGGTTTGTGTACTATTATTATTGGTTTTTATACTGTTATTCTTAATTTATATACTGTTATTGAGAGGATAGAGACTACATTTTTACAACATGGCTAAGTAATACATGAAATTACATTTTTACTCAACGAGCCCATACCCGATAGTGCTCTATCACTACTCGATATACTAGCTTGTAGAAGGGCTACCTAATGTATACGAAGAATTTTGTATAATGTTTTTTGTTAAAAAGAAATACTTAGTTGCTTTGGAGTTTATTTTAGTCTTTTAGATTTACTTGTACTTCATATTAAACGTAACCGTTTCACTTTTGTATTATTTATATACTTACTTTGACTATAATTTTTATCAATACACTTCCTTTTTTTCTTTTATATGCAACACTTTAACATTTACACTATTTATATACTCCACTTTGACTAGCTTTAATTGATTTATAATTAAAACTAAATATAATTATGTGTGATCTTGTTAAAATCATCTTCGTTTATACTTTATTAATATCATTTTTTAATTTTTATGTATTAGTAATAAAAGATATTAATGATTGAAATAATGCATTGATAAGGGTGTAATAAGCAGAATTGCATTTAAAAGATAAGTAGAGGGTGTATAATCATAAAACAAATGTTGTCTTGTATAGTATAATAATGATTCAACTTAGGGACCGTTCACATTTACTGAATTGAGTTGAACTGACCTGAACTGATTGGAGCTGAACAGAACTTAACTAAACTAAACTGATTGGAGCTGAACTGAACTAAACTGAGCTGAAATGAATATTTTATGAGAGAGGGAAATTAGGATCTGAACTGAACTGATATTAAGTAAATGTGAACAGGGCCTTAATTGTGTATTGACATATATGCCAGCTGTTGTGATTAATTCGAAACGAAGGGAATAATTTGTAATGTTTCAAATTGGTGAAGAGAGGTATTCAAAACCGAACTTAAGCAAACAATATAGCTCAATTGTTGGATGATAATCGAGGAGACACAATTCGATATCCACATTATTCAATTAACGAAATTGCTTTTTCATGAGACAAGATTCCATAAATTACCCTGATGTTATAATTAGGAAAATTTGCAAGAGAGGACCTTTTAAATTGAATTGTTTGTGAGAAAGGACATTATATATTAAAAAAAAAAGTGACGGATTGGAACTATAATGTGAGATGGGACCTCAAAAAAAAAAGTTGTTAGATGGGATCTTTCGGTGGATTTTGGCGTGGCAGAGGTGGTTTTCGGAGGTCAGTGAGAGATTTCAGCGAGGTGGAGGTGGTCTTCCGGGGTTTGTGTAGAATTTTGGCGAGGTGGAGATGGTTTTCGAGGGTCGAGGTGAGATTTCGGCTTGGTGGAGATGGTTTTCGAAGGGTTCGGTGTGGGATTTGAGTGAGGTAGAGGTGGTTTCGGGGATCGATGTGGGATTTAGGTGAGGTGGAGGTGGTTTACAAGGGTCAGGGTGGAATTTCGACGAGGTGGAGGTGGTTTTTGAGGGTTCAATGACTGGATTTTGTAAAAGGTCCCATCTCACAATTGTTTTTTGAAATAAGGTCCCAAACTGCCACATTTTTTTTATTCATTTATTTTTATATAAGATCCTTTCTTACAAACAACTCATTATAAAAGAATTTTTCTTGCAAATTTTCCTTAAACTAGAATGTGCACGTGCTAATGCACGTGTTATAATTAAAGATAGGATTAAAAAATACAAAGTATATACTACCTCTATTAAATGTTATGTGCAACTTTGGAATATTTTAAATCTCACAAATAATACCCCAAAGTTACACATAACAATTAACAGAGATAGTAGATGCATGCAGATAATCTTTAATAAAACATAAAATAGTAACCAAAAAAAATTGGTTAGTAGTACTCCAATATTTTTATAGAAGTGATTACCAAGTTATTAGTTACTGAAGAGTGATTTCCGTGGATAATCTGAGAAGAGAACTAAATTCCATAAATATGCTACATGTTAATAAAATTCTCGATGTATCTAGACCTATCAAAGCTGATTCGACCCGAAAAAACCGACACGAACCCAGTCATTAAGCAATCCGTTTGAACCCGAAAAAATGGTGACCCGAACTTGATATGGCCCGACCCGAAACCAACTCTAGATCCTAGTGAATCCGAGAATTTGAGACCCGAACCGAACATCAACTGACCTGGAGATTACACGACCTGAATATAACCCGTGAAATATTGACCTAAATTAAATTGACCCAAACCCGTTTAACCCGTCAAACCCGAATGTAACCCAACCCATTACTAACCCACCCCGAATTTAACCTGACTTGTTACAAAACCGACCCGAATTTAAACCGACCGGTTATTAACCCGACTCAAATATTACATGGCCTAATACTATCCCAACCTGATCCGTTACTAACCCGATCCTAAATCAACACGACTTGTTATTGACCCGATCGAACCAAATGCAATCCGTATTGTTCTTAACCCATTTTGAACTAAATCTAACATGTTATTGACCTGATCTAATTTCAAATCACCTTAAATTCAATGTAGACCACGCTATTAATATTGATCGAAGTATAGCTATATAGTTACGTTGATTACTTGATTCTGTTTTTTTTACTTTTTTTTTTATGAACTTATTACGTATATCTTATTAAAACTTATTTGAACTAATTAGCTTGAATTTGGACTTATGTGAAATTATTTCTCTTACAATAAATGAAGAAATTGATAATGATTAAACGTAAACGTCATTACATGAATTTTTAACAAATTGAACTGAAAAATGTACCCAAACTCGATATGATCTAATCTGAAATCGACCCGAAACCAAGATTAACCCAATATTAGGATTAATAGAATTTTAGGATTGGGGATTTGGGTGATTGTGGTGAATTGACTCTACAATTATAATATAAAAGTATCTAACTTATCCCAACTCAAGATCAACCCTACATCCTGTCAAAAAAAAAAAAAAAAATCAACCCCACATAAATCCCAAACCCGAGAACAATCCAACATTACTTGAACTATAAGAGACCCATAACTTCCTCATACCAATGAAGAGAATGTCAAGAATGTCAACAAACAAATGACTAAAGCCCAACATTCTTTGGGTGAATTTGGAAATGACCCGACTATAATCTTGTAGTAGTTCGTTGAAAAAACAAATGTAGTTTAAATGACAACACCTTAGATCATGTTCAGGTTATTGTTATGCTCTCCAATTGCTCGATCATTCTTTAACACCCAACACCCACTCTTCTTCTCCAGGTAATTTTCTCCATTGTATTTTTCTCTGTTATCTTTGTGTTTGAATTGAGTAATCAATAATAAGTTGAATTGAAGTGAGTAATTGAAAAAAAAAAAAAAACCCAATTATTTGATCTTCACTGATTAACTATACAATTTTAATTTGTACAAGTTGCTGTAATGTATCAGATTGAAGAACAACATACATTGCAAGTGGGTACAGATGGGTGCTGGGAGTGTTAATTCTGAGTATTCAAAAATTGCAAAGTTTCGAATGTGCAATGTATCTGGGTAAATGATTGTCAATTGCTTGTTATATATACTGTGATTCTAATCGGAACATAGGTCTTGTACACGACGGGTGTATTTTATACAACTGTCTTTAGTCACTAAAGATTACATAAAAGTGTTGTTGTACTCTCGTGTTTGGGCAACTAATCGTGTTATATACAATACACCCGTACTCATTATGGACTCGATTTTGCCTAACTCAAATTGCAATTGATTTTTGTGTTCTTGTCATTATTCTTGTTGGAAGTTGTGTTTGTGTAAATTGGTTTTTACATAGTTATGTATTTTGGATTCAGTTATATGACAGAGTTGCTGGAAATTCAGGCTCCAAATCCCACAATGCATGTTTTGCTTATCCCTGGAAATCCAGGTTTTGTTGCCTTTTCTCTCTTTATGTGACTCATTCTTCAAGTTGGGTAGGTAAACAATGATTTAGGTGGTTGAATTTCAGGTATTGTTACATTTTACAACGATTTTGTGGAGTCATTGTATGAGGAGCTTGGTGGAAAAGCATCAATTACAGGCATGATTTGGCTTCCCTTCTCTTTTTAAACCATTTATTTTCGACCCGAAATATCTCAAGGGAGTTGTTCTTGTTGTGTTGATCCACAGCTATTGGGCACATATCCCACACAAATAAGGTACTTATTGTCTGTTGAGTGTTGAGACCTTACGTCTGAGTAGTGAACTGCTTTCTGTATAATGTAATTGATCCTTGTAGGAGAAGTTGTATTGCTATTTGCTCTAAGTAAAAGTTATGAAGATTACTTACATGTTATGATAGTTATTGCATGATGATACGCCTATAATGGCTATGAATAGCTACATAGACTCTGTTAAAACACGAAGTGTAGTGGTTTAATGATGGGATTTCTTTATATGATGGAAAATTTTGAGTGAGTGGCCTAGCATTTTAACATTTGGGCTACTCAATACTTGATTTTTCTGTAACTATCTGGTGTAAAAAGCTGCCGTGTCTCCTTTTTTGGACAGTTCATTCAACTCCTATATTCTATGTAACTATGTGTTTATGTACTCAGTAGAGGGATGATGATGGTGACTATGGTGGAGAGATATTTAATGGAAGATTTTAAAAAGAGCTCCATGATTGTTTCAAATTGTGAGCTTGAGAAGGGGGAAAATTAGGTTGGTCAATTGGAGAAAGTGGTGGTATTGGATCTTCAAAGAAGAAGAATCTTGGAATGAAAGATAGAAGAGAAAGAAGAAAGACAAGAAAGGAGGCAGGCGAAGAAAACAAGAAACACCCCCCCTCCCAATATCTTTGCTAGTGTTAGTAGTAGTTTATTGAGGACGTTAACATTTAATTTTATCCAATAATTTTATTTCAAATAGGCTACCTTACTGTAAATGTGTATTAATGCATGGGTTTATCTCATTGTAATTACCTCAATATCAGGCTACATAGTTGAATTTTTTCTTAGAAAAGATAGAAATAACTTTTTGGCTAATTTTTTCTTGTTCGGAGAAAGTAAGCTGTGAAGTGGTGTGAGGATTCTCCTTGGCTTGTTATAATAATATTTGTATATGTGTAAAATTAATGAATGAAAGTACCGCATGGCACCTCTCTTTTGGATAACTTAATGCTTCAGAGTTGAGACTGCCTCTCTTATCGCATTTGATTGTGTGCTAGGATTGGGAGCATGGACGCTTATTCTCACTGGAAGATCAAATTAACCACAAGGTAAGCTTTTTTTGTTTGGCAAACTCCATTACTATTCTTTTATATTAAGGTGGCAGATCACTGAAATGGGGCCATTTAACACATCTCATTTTAAATTTCAACTTGTCTAGCTGAGTACATTGTGCTAAAACTACAATGTGAAGGATAATTTGGCTTTTATAATAGAAAACTATACATGCTTTGCATATTCAGTTTAAACCTATGTACTATTCTGAATACAGTTTTTATCCTATTCCTGGAATGAGGAATTGCTGGTACTATGAGAAAGAGTGGGAGCCAGTATATTAGTTAAGAACTAGAGAGTTTTCTCTGTGGTTAGCTTTGCTTTGACTTCGTAAAACGGCTAAAACCACTATATTAATAAAGAACTAGAGAATTTTCTAATGAAAAGGGGAGGGAGTTTGCACTGTAATTTATTTGTGATTGTGTTGATAATTTTTTATTATGCTTAGTTGAAAATGGATTTGAGGCCTAAAATCCATCATTTAATTTTTTATTTTTTATTATTGCTTTATAAATACACTTTCAAGTCATCAGCACCAATTAGGCGAGTAGAAAGAACCACATATTTTTTTCCAACTTTTTATGATCAAGCTCTGACACATCGAAAGTATCATTCTTTTTATGCTTTTTGTGCATACGTCACAACTCTAAAGTAGTGTAGTTGAGCATTATTGACTGCAGGGGGAACTTTCCCCTGTCATGTAATTATGTAATTTTTCTTAATTAAGCCTTTCACCTGGTTTGTGGTTACGGACAATAAGTTTCTGTGTCGATTTAACGAGTTAATTTACTTTGCAAAGCTGTTTTGAGGTGCAAGATGAATCATTGATGCTTTGTGTTTCTGTTGCTGCAGATTGATTTTATTGCCCATGAACTCCAAAATAAAAGTGCTCCAATAATACTGGTGGGTGAACTTCCATTTAGATCTAATCTTTGTGGATTTCTTATTAGTAAGCATCACTTAATAATTGAATTCCCTGTGGCTTGAAAAGAAAAATATCCACAAAGTAATAAAAATCCATTTAGCCATGTTATTCTACAGTCCTGGTGATAATATTTGAACATTATTGGTTGTCATATGATATTTGAATGCTTATCTTAGCTTTTGGGACCATTGTTTGATTAATAATTTGTTTTTGTTATAGCTTTGACATTATGCACACTTCTGGTTAAAAAGCAGAATATTATTGTTTTCTGACATACTAGATATTGAGTTTTCTTTCCACCATTTGCTTGTCATTGTTCTGATTACCTTGTAATCTTGGTGAAATACTCAAGCAATCACTGGTCAATAGTGTAGTAGAAATACATATGTAATGAATGTATATTTTAATACTTTTGCGTGGTTCTACTGAAGCCTTTTAAAAAATCTGACCAATACTTGTTGTCTTGTTGATACGGTTCCATCACAAGTTATGCTACTCAGTCCATATCAGTCATATGGGGAAGCTGATGTGGGGTTTATATAGGTCTATGGACTCTCTATCCTCCGAGTTAGCTTTTGGGGATGGTTATCTCATTGGCCTGTATCAGCTATCCTTTCAGAAGTATCCTATCTGACTTGTATGTTCTTTTGAAGGTTGGGCACTCTATTGGATCTCATATAGCATCTGAAATGTTTAAGAGAGCTTCACAGAAGGTGTTCAGTTAACTATATTGGAGAAATCATCATACACTACTACTTTCATACCTTTGCTTTCTTATTCTCAATTGATTAATCTGGATGCTATTTATCCAGGTTATATACTTCATTGGGCTATACCCTTTCTTGGCTTTAAATTCCAAATCATCAAAGCAAACTGCCATCAGGAAGCTAGCAGAGTAAATTTTTATCTTTACACTCCACATCAAGATAATAATTTTAGCAACTTTACACAACTTAAAGCGGTGCTTAAACGCATTTATTGCATTGCTCTTGTGTTGATGGTATTTATACCAGGTTGTTACTGTTTTACTGACGTTCAAACGACTCAATTATATATATATATATATATATATATATATATATATATATATATATATATATATATATATATATATATATATATTGTTTTTTTGTTCACTTTCTTGTGATTCTGGTCTAGGAGTTTTCTAACATATTTACACATTTGATTGTTAGCTATTGTGCAGATTTTGTCTTTGTGTTATGCCCTTTGATTCTTCATATCCTCATATTTCATCTGAATTAACAAATTTGAATGCATCTCTGACTTCAATTATTACTCATGGAGTATTTATAAAACATTTAGTAGGCTTTCCTATTGTGAGTCCATCAGGAATAGCTTCTTTCTGCATACAGTGCACATCCTTAATCCCGCCTTAGGTGGGGGCCATATGCTTGGTGTTTGGCAATGGCATGGTGTGGCATATATAATTGTAAATTTGCTTTTACTTCTTGATGTTTAAGTTGTTATGACGTAACTGCTTATTCCTCACTATCACATCATGGATCAACTTCTCAGATGCAAAATTTGTGTTAAGTCTGTACAAAAATGAGGGATGAGTGTTGATCTGTGCTTTGCTTTCTGCATAGCACATTAGTTTACTCTTATGTTCCTTGGCACTTTAGGCCTTTATACACTTGGCTAGCTGAATGTGAAGAGCGTCGTGTCTAGAAAACCATGCTTTGTCAGACTTAGATATTAAGTCGCCATTAAAACTCTCCCCCGTGGGGTTAGGCTATCGAGTTGCTTCACTAACTGAATTGATTTAAAAAAAAAAAAAATAAATAAAAAAAAAAATCCTGTTTAAGATCTGCAAGAGCTATCGTTCTGTCTTAGGGCCAGTCCTGCTGCTGCTGCCTGTTGTGGTGGGCATTAGTTGCATTGTCTTTGTACAATGTGAGGCTTGCATAACTGAGGCAATCTATAACTTCTTTTCTAGATTGAGATTTTACGTGACTTATTGCTCCTACTGCATCCTGCTGTCCCTCCACCCCCCTTACCCTACATAACTTAGTTGAATGGTCCATTTTCTTGTTCAAATTTCCAGGTCTTCAGTACTATGTGCATTGGTAAGCTCTATAGTAGCTCTGCTGGGCGTTGTCCCCAGTTTATCAAGGTTAATTGTGAAGACGACTTTAGGCAATTCATGGTCTGGTGCTGCTATAGATGCTGCTTGCTCCCATTTGTTGAAGGTAAGACTTCCAAAATCTGGATAAGAAGGTTGTGCTTTTCAATAACAAGTTAAGAATAGATGTCGATCTAGAAGTTTCCATCAAGATGTTGTAAAACCAAGGTCTGCAATATTGTGTTGGCTTAGATTTAAACATGTTAAATGAGACACAAAAGAACTCACTTCTTGACTAGTTTTATGCTTTTATCCTTTTTTTTTTAATTAACTTCACCAAAATATATTGTAATCCAATTTGTTTATTTGCATCTCATTGCTAAAACCAATTAACTTTGGTTAAAACATATCCAATTATTCACCATCCTCCCTTAAGTTTTGAGAGAAAAAAATCAGCCAAACTTATATGAAAGAAAACTGTAACTTTTTCAGGTCATATAATGTGCTGTAACAGCATAGGGTGGTCTGGTCAACTAGAATTTCTTAAGATCTATATATGTGGGATTATGTTCCTCAAACTTTTCATTTACATTACAACCTAGAATTTATTTGGTCCTATAGTTTTTTTTGGAGGAATATTTGATCCTATAGTCTTGCTTAAGCAATCAATCAATATTTACACTTAATGGTCATAAATTGCTCCCTCCGTTCCCATGGACAGTACCATGAGAGCTTGAGGCTGTTTTATGAAGGCTTTGCTCATAAATCAGACTGTACATCTACCAAGAAATTTATGTTCTTCTGTGCAGCTTAAATGGTTTCTTGATCATATTCACAATTGGAACTCTACACATCCCTTGATGAATGCTTTTTGCTAAGAAAAGAGAACTCTATTGTTTTGTATTTTGCCATTTTTGAGGGATCTTCCTCCTTTTTTTTCTTTGGCCAAGTTATATACATTTTGAAATGAATGAATTCTTATATACTGTTTGTTCATATTAAAAAACGCAGTACCACACAATGCGGAATATGTTGTTTATGGCAAAGACAGAGTTTGAGAAGGTAAATTTTTGTTTAATTATTTTGTCTGTAGGCATACTTCTGATATGTTTTTTTTCCCTTGTTTTATATGGTGCTATGAATTTCCTTGCAATACTTGGTTGGTCGGAAGAGAAATACAACCTCCTAGAATTGAATTTGATGTATTGTGTCTTGTATAGTTTGCAATTTCTCAGGAAGATCTTCTTTCTCTATGTTTGAGAGTTTGCTGCCGATAAACAAGAATGTATATTTGTAGACAATTCATTGGTTAGAATACTATTGGAAGAGTAGTAAATGAATGTAAAGCTTTGTTGTACATTAAAAAATGTCTTTTATTAGGCAAATTAAACTGATTTTCTTGTTTCAAAATATCAGTAACTCTGCATCAACAACATAACATTATATGCTCTAGTTTGTCAAATCAACATAAGAATATATGCTACATTCCATAATTAATGCAATGTTATATGCCAATATTGCATTACCCTTCAATTTTAACTAAATCTAATAAAGTTTCTGTTGTGTGGAAAAAATGAATGAAGTGTCTTACCCTTTGTAATGATTGGATAGAAAACAAATCATTAGTGCTGATTCTGATTGCTTTTATAACAGTTTTCAGAAGCACCGGACTGGGACTTCCTGAAAGCTAACCCAAATCAAATAGCATTTTTATTTGGCATTGATGATCATTGGGGTCCGTTGTCATTGTTTGAAGAGGTATGTGATTCAAGTCCAGTCATTCTAAGATATTCAGTTGTTCAACCATACTGCTACACCTCAACACTTAGCTGTGTACCTGTTGATTGCAATTGCATACTACGTATTTAGCGTCTATATAAAATTTCATCAGCAGATGCATAAATGGTTGGATCCTTATTCACGTCCAAAATGTTGCTTCTGCCTCTGCATATACTCTGCGAAAATTTGTTGCTTCTGCCCATAAACTTAAATCAGTTTGTGACAGTCATTGCATTCTGTATGGTATATGTATATGTCAGAATGCAATTGTTGTTGAGCACATCTTTTCTGCTCAGCTTAGGATTCTCATTCTCACTTCTTTGGAAATGCCGTCAAAGCTATGTAGTTGGGCAGTTGGGAGCTTAAGACAAAATACATCAAGATAGGCATCACACCAAATCCTCTGAAGTTGTCTTTTGCTCATTCTAGGATAAGGGAAGTTAAGATATATGCAGCCTTCCCAAACAATATCAGGGTCTGTTTATGATTAACTGCTGATGTAGAACTTACTTACTGTCTGCTGCTTAAATCTGACAACTGAGTGTGTATTGCATAGTCAATTGTGCTGTTTTGTTATTGTACAGTATGATTTAGATCCGTGTTGCTTTGGTTGGAATTTAGTATTTAGATCAAGGGAAATTTGTTTGAATGTATTGAATCATCTCTCCTATTTCTCTTACTGTGGTGTCATATTTTCTAATCTCTATTTGTTCTTGTAGAATGTGGCCTTTGATCAATAAGTCTGTTCTTAAAGCAGTTTAACACCTTAACTTAATCAAAATGCCGATTTCAGTTTAAGATAGTAGTTGCTTCTGTGATGCTCAATGTTCTATGCAAATGTCAACTTTGGTTATGGATCCAGAGTTCTTCCATTAATATTACCTCAACTTGAGAAAAGGGGATACTCGACAGAATTAGAATTATTCGATTTATCATGTAGCCCAAGGATAAGGACAATATCCTTTTCTATTTGCGTATAGTGTAGGTAGAGAATTACTCTCTATCCCATATTTGTACATTTGCCTGTATTGGGTGTCCCAAATTTTTTGCGCACTTGCTTTTTAAGGTGAAGTTTCTGTTATTTTCTCTTTCTACCTCTTTCTAAAATCCGTACTAAAGACAAGCAGGCAAAATGTTATGAAACGGAGAAAGTTTCAGATTTCCCTTCTCAGACTGAAGTTGAAGTGCCCAAGTGACTGTGCCTATATAGGGTGTCAGGTATATAATGCTGGTACTTGAGACGAAATGAAGAAGTTTAGTATCTGACAATTGAGCTTATTGTTTACCAGAAAGAGCTCTGTAAGGTGGAGCAAAATAGACTTTGATCCCTCTGCAAAGTTAAACTGTCACAGTTTTAAATTCTAGTCAAAACTGGAAGTTTGCAACGTTTCATACTTAGTATTTGCTTAGAAGGTCCAATATTCTGTTAGATATATGAGACAAATAATGTCCTATGTGATGACAGATGATAAATAAACAGACAATGATGTGAATATTCCAAACAAATTTCTTATGTTTCTTTGTTTGTTGGGCAATTTTTTTCTAACTCCTCTGTTTTCTTCTACACTTGTTACAGATTTCCAAACAAGTTCCTGATGTTTCTTTGTCAATTGAAAAAGAGGGTCACGACCATGCTTTTAGTTGCACTGAGGCTGGTTCCACTTGGGTTGCCCAGCATGTAGCTGGCTTGATCAAGAAACATTTGTAAACACTATACCGTCATCTGGCTCTCCATTTGCTGAGTAAACAATGAAGAGAGTGTTACCTTTCTAGTTCCTATTTCTTTTACTTTATTCACCGCACTTCTTCTGAAAGTTAACTGGATATAGATTCTGTAATGGCTTAAGTGATACAAGTTTGTCATATGTATGTTTCGTTTGCTGCTACACCTGTGTACATAATGAAATAATGAATTGCTCTATCCTTTTTTTTTTTGAAAGAAAGAGAATTGCTCTATCCTTAGGTCCCTGTATTTCTGTGATATTGATCAAATATTACTTCGATTTGAACAGTCGATGCAAATAAAAAAAATCAGTTCGGAAGTTACAGAAATTGTCTTTTTTTTTTTCAGCATTTTCATTACAATAGTCTGTTTCATTTTCTGAAGGATTTCAGCAGCCAGCCATGTCTACGGACTACAGTGAGGCCTCATCATACGTGTAAACGAAATGCAAACAGCTGCTGCAGAGTACTATATGCAGGTTTGCTGATTCTTTCCTTGATCATATTGCTAGTCCAACTCTTAAACTGATTGGAAATTAGACATTACGGCCAAGTAGCCACCTGTTTCATGCTTGAATACTCAAATCGCCGGAGATGTCTTGTGAACTACCTCAAAATATTAGGATGTCGGCTGAATTTTTTTTTTTTTAGTGAAATCTGCTAATCATACATAATTCATAAGAGGACAACATGAATTGTTTGGTAGTTTAGTAGTTAAAGGTTGTATTTTGTCACTAATACATAGCATGTCAATCAGTCTATATATTTGTCTTGCCTGCTGGAGTTTTTTCCCCTCAACTAAGGCCCAGCAATGTCGAAGTCTACTTACAGTTTTGTCTAGCCATACAAAGGGGATCCTAGGTTGGTAGTTAGCGCTTCTCATATAACTACCAACCTATATAGCCTTCTTATTGGTTATGGACCATAGTCTAGAGTCATGTGTGGATCACGGTATCGAAATACTATATGCACCCTCTTTCATTCAAACCTACACCAAAACTCGGATAATACCAACGTACATAAACCCTCTTTCATTCAAACCTACACCAAAACTCGGATAATACCAACGTACATAACCAAATCATGCCCTGATAGAATTCCCAAACGCTGTACTCAAAACTAGATTGATTTGCACCATCTATCACAATTAACCCAAAAATCGATTTATATGACTCGAACTGAATCCAATCTATACGACTGAAATTTTAGCTCTTTACAATACCTACATAGCATTTTAAGTCTTTGAGGTAAGACAATCACATGTTACAAATTGAGTGAATATTGTGGGACATAGATAACTTCAAATCCAAAATCAAATTTAATTTTTAGTGATATGGACATTAATGTATATGCAATTTATGTCTAGCTACCTATTACAGTACTTTATTCTAAAGTATACTGGGGGCAAGCATTAGCACCTTCTTAAATCATTCATAAACCACTATTAACTTTTAAGTACTTTGTCTTTTTTCTAAATATATTTTAGATAATACAAGCATGTCTTGTTATTAATGAAGTTACTTAGTAGTTTCAAGAAACATAAATCATAATTATATTCTGTTTAATGCATTATTAAAAATTCTGAATGATTCCTGTAGTAGAGTACAAACTCTGTTTGCAGACAAGAATTATTATATTAACCTGTAGTTTACCTAATTAGTACCTTCTTTATAATATAATTTAATTCCTTGGTTTAATTTTTCTAAATCTGAAATTTAGTCAGGGAAGATTTTATGCTAATTATATTGTTTAATAATATAATGTTTAAATAATCAAGTAGGAGAATAAATTACTGCCACTACATTATACAATAAGATTTAAAACTCGAAAGCTTAATAGCTGTATAATTTAGAGATGAGATTAAAAAGTCTATGTAATTAAAGCAAGTAAATTTAATTAAGGCATTAATTAAAGCACATGAAGTTCTTTTCTTACGTGCTTTATTTGTTGGACACTGAATTAAAGATGCATCAATTGTGTTAAAATTTTTACATCTATAAATTTTAATTTTAATAGAGACGATTAATTACAGATGTATATGAATACGAAAGTTTATCATGACTTTTTCTTTAATCCATTATACTTTGATTACTTTCTATCAAAACTTTTTCAAAAGGGTTTGTTTTTGCATGGAAATTTCACGGGTTTCTATTATACTATAATAAAATTCACAAAAGTCCTTTTCATAATTTTGTATACTCCATATCTAAAACTTATATACTCCATTAGTCCATATATTATGGATAGTTTATGTGATAATGTATGCACAGTAATTTAGACGTGATTTTGTTTTAAAAAATCTTGAATATTACCATAAGACTTTTAATCAACTAAATTAGTTGACATTCACAGTTTATGCAATAATGTTACAACACATCATATCATACAATAGACTAAGGGCATGTTAACAATTACTTAATTTCAATTCAGTTCAGCTCCAATCAGTTCAGTTCAGTTCAGCTCCAAATTTCCCTCTCTCATGAAATATTCATTTAAGCTCAGTTTAGTTAAGTTCAGTTTAGTTCAGCTCCAATCAGTTCAGTTCAGTTCAGCAAATGTGAACATTCTCTAACCAAACACAACTAAGGGTCTGTTCTCTTCAGATTATTTTCAATTCAGTTCCAATAAGTTCAGTTCTTAATTTCCTTCTCTTATAAAATATTCAGTTCGATCAGTTCATTTCAGTTCAACTCATTTTAATCAATCAGAACAGGCACTAACTATGCATTTTAACATTTTTTTACAATCACCTTGAACTTTAAAAAGCTCCACCTTTGTTATAAGATAAATGACCCAATTAAACCTGAACTCGCTTCCATAAACAATTCAAAAGTTTCACATACTATAATATCAAATGATGCCTAGATTTTATATGATGTCACTCAACCCATTGTAATTAATTAATAAGATAAATGCACCACACGGATCCTTAATTACTCATTGGGTCCCCATACTATAACCATAGTAGGATGGCTGTCACCTACAACTTCAAACACCCACATGTCATCCTAGATTTCCTAACATACATACATATAAACTCATTCACATGAACACAACCTATACATCTCTCCCACAAATTCAACCAAAAAATTTCAGTCACCCCTCTTTCTCTCTCTCTCTCTAAAAAAATGTCCTCAAACAAAAGAAAAGTTCTCCTAAACTCAGTCCCAGTAGACTTAGGCTGTAATTGTAGAAAGCTAAAACTTTCTTCAATTTTTAGCCCTAAACCAAAATCATCAAAAATACCCAAATACCAAAAATACCAAAATTATTCCTACTCTTCCTCAACTTCTAGTACTAACACTACTTGGGATAAAACTACTAGAAACTTCTCTTCATCCTCCCCTTATGAGTGTTATTATCCGACTATTAACTCCACTACTTTTTCTCCTTACTTGGACACCACCACCTCCTCCTCGTCCTCTTCACAGCCGTCCTCATCAGTTGATGGGTACGGCCGTATTGGGACTAAATCAGTGGCCGTTGAGAAGGATTCGAGTGACCCTTATTTGGATTTCAGGCAATCTATGTTACAAATGATAATGGAGAATCAAATTTATACTAAAAATGATCTTAAGGAGCTTTTAAACTGTTTCTTGCAGTTGAATTCTCCTTCTCTTCATGGGACTATAATCCGGGTTTTTACTGAGATTTGGAATAGTTTCTTCTTCAATGGGAGGCCTGATCATTCTTCCCCTCGGTTCTTCGTTCGCCCTAAATCCTATGAGATTTAAGTAGCCGCAATTAGCAGCAGGGATAATTAAGATTGCGTACATCTGAAACTCTGTCTTATTTACGACTAGAGTGAGTGATGGCTATGGGTCCTAGAATTTTACTTGGATTTTTAGTTGATTTGGTTAGCATTTGTAATCATGTTTTGGTGTTGTTATTAATTAGTATGAGTAGGATGGATTAATAGTAGTAGTGCATTATTATTAGGTGTTAGGTTGTAGGTATGATCTTAAATATTCCTCCTTTTTTGAGGCAACATATATAAGATCTTTCTAACTTGGTTGGATTGTAAGTCATGATCATGTCATATTGTGATGTGACTAGTAATTGTAAAGATGTTTTACCATTTGGTATGAAATCAAACGGATTTTACTATCTGTAGTATTTTTGTATTTTTATTTTTATTTTTAATTTATGTGTATATAATATACAGCATATGTTTAATTTTTCTATAACACTATAATATAGTGTTCTTTTGCCAATTCTTGAAGGGAAGATTTAAAATTCTATTCTATGACTTGGGATTTGTAATCTCCCATTTTTAGGTGTATGTATCATTCAAACGTACTATACTCAAATCCATAATTTGTCTTTTTTTCACCATTTTATTTTATTTTTATTATTTTTTTTATGTTTCTATTTTTTTTTTTTTACATTATCACCATTTAATTAGTATGTTTAAGTGCAATCCTTGGAAGAGACAAGTGTATCTTCCTTGTAGAGTTGTAGTATTTCAATATTTGTAGGTCCTTGATAAAATCTTTATAAACAGTCCACTGATTTTTGGTCAAAAGTGGTATTTCATTCTCTTTTACATAACCTTTTCTAAATTAAAAATAAATAAAAAAAATCTTTTCTAAAAGATAGGCTATGGGTCCCCAAAGAGCGAGCCTTGAGATTTATCCTTTTTTTTCTTTAATAAGTAAATAAAAAAAAAAGTTGGAGCCTTGAGTAATAATAAAGCCAAAAAAAAAGCAGAAGGTTAAAGTATAGTTAAGACTTATAACATAAAATTGATGAAATAAAGACATAGGGATTTGGAACAGAATAATAATTGTAGTCTTGTAGAGTTTACATAGGAGAAGTATCAATATTCAATCCTTCAAAAAAACAAAAAACAAAAAAATAAAATAAAATGAAAGTATCAATATTCAATTGAAAGAAGTGGTATGATAATGGGTCTGCTTCAATTGAGCTCGTTTTAATGCTCATTTAATTTTATTTTTGCTTATTTCAAACTTTGCTCTTCTCCCTAGAATCTCTTACTAGTTGTCTTTTGTTTTTTTTCATAAAACAGTATTGTCTAATGTTATGATTATTTTCAGCTCCTAGTTGTCTTAATTTTGTGAAACAATGGATTAAAATTTAGAACCCTAGGTCGGCTTAATGTTTTTATTATTTCTGTCAGTTATGATAAATGATGAAGAAAGCAAGAACTTATTGCAATGGTATGTGTAACTATCAACTATAGAGTTGTTCTTAATCTTGTGTGATGCATCAGTCATGAGTGTGTCAAATATGACCGCTCGGTATATTGTTCCTTAAAAAAAAAAAAAA